CCAGCTTTCGCACTCTCCTCTTTCACCCTCATCAAGAGGCTCTTTAGTTCTTCACTTTCTGAAGTGAATCTATCCCAATAGGGATAGACACTCCTAAATGGGAAATTGACTTAGGGCCCTTACAAAAGAAAGATCCCAGCGGTAGAACAGGAGGGAAACAATGCCCAAATTCCAAGGAAATCAGGGCTGCTGTTTTGAATTAGTCTCCATCCATACACAAAGGAATAAATTGATCAAACAGTAACTCCGCAGGAATATCGCAGATGGATCACCTGTATTGTTAAGTAATTGACGCATCTTCTCTGGATTCAGAACTGCCCCTCGCAGCTGTGCCTGCAGGAATACATTCCTTGCCTCCTCCATGCTACTTATTTCATATAATGTATGTGGGTTTTCTGAAAGCCAGTAGCATGTAGGACCATCCCCAGATATTTGAAACTGGTCCACTTTCGTGTTTTAGGCTTTTTAGCAAAAACCACAAGAGACTGTCTGAGGCCAACTAATGTGAGATAATAGCCATGTCATCAGCATATAGAAGTACACCTGGGCCCCCCCATCTGAGGCAGGTGTAAATTGGAGAGTCAGATGGCCTGTTGGGGAGTGTAGGTGCAACTTAAATAATGTAGGGGCCCCAATGCAGCCCCCTCAGACTCCTTTCTCAACAGGTATTGGGTTGGTTAGCACACCATTTGAGTTAAATCTGACTCAAGCCTGTGTTTTGTTACCTAATACAGATATTTCCTTTATCATGTCCTGCAATTTCCAATCTAGATGGCATGCATAGAATTTACTAATGATATTTAAAAGGCTAATAGGTCTATAATTAGCTGGATCTGCTCTATTCCCCTTCTTAAAGGGACAATCATGGCTTCACCCCAATCTTGCAGGAAATGTCCTGTTTGATCTATACATGTGTTCAGATTGAGGGGTTCCAAGGGGATGAAATTTTACAGTCTGTAAATCAAATGGGGTGAATTACTATGCAGAGTGCAGCTTAGATAATCTTGCAGAAATTAAGGGAGAGCGCTATAATTAGATATTACCTTTTGATCTGTGTCTGTGGCTAAGATTTTTGCTCGAATTTCCACTGGCCTAGGTGTATTTGACATTTTAGATACTATGGAGGCCAGTCCGGGAAGGCATCCTGGCTGTGCTATGGATCTGGTTGGCAGCTGAATCCAAACAGTTAAAGAGAGGTAGTCACTGTGTCACGTTGTTCAACTGACATCAGGGTAATCTTCTCCATAGGAAGCTAACCAGTACCCTCTTGACATGTGAGAGCCCAACCAATCAGTGAATTATCCTGGCTGAAGTGATGGATAGCTTTTCCTTTTAGGATTAACCAGCAACAGGAAAGGAACAAACAGTTGGGGAATATGCCACAAACTAGCACTTAGTAGAGCAGCCACAAAGGCCTTGGAAAAGATAGTCAAAGAATGACAAAATAACAACATAATAGTAAATCAAGTGCCCATAGCGACCTACGTGCCTGAGTTCCCTGTTTAGGAAAGTAAATATACCTGCATCTGCATGAGCACCAGGAGCTCCCAGCCTACCCCATTTCCCAGGAAGTCTCCAACTGGGATTCTGATTTATACATTTTATTAATTAAAGTGAGTTGCATGGCTGCCTCACTTGCAAAATAGGATGCTGGGTGGCTGAGGCAGGATGGAAAACAAAGCCATGCTAAATGTCCAAGCGCCACTGCAGCGCAATAGAAAATAGCCCCAAAGAGAGCCTGAAACCCACCATCTTCCACCGCTCCTACAATTCTCCACATAGGTTCCTCCAGCATCCTAACCGAGCGCTCATGAGAACCATCCAGGTTGTCAAGCCATAGGGAAGGCCAGCAGGGTTGGGGCCCTCCAGATCCGGGGGCGGGGTGCCTAGGTCCCACAAGATGATATGGTTTTGTGAAGCGGTCACTGAGTATGCTCAGTCTGTTGGACTTTTATGGGAAGGCCAAGTCAAACAGAAGATAGGCAGACCCACCAAGAACATGGTCCTGAGCCATGAGGGGCTTTCTGGATGATCACCAACCCCTGGAAGCTTATAGGAAGCCAGCAGAGCTCACGAGGTAGTACAGATACATGGATGGACCAGGGGATGCCTGTCACTGCCTGTGCAGCTGCATTGTGGACTAATTGTAGCATACAGATGGTCTTTAAGGGCAGCCCCAGGTACAGTGTGTTGCAATGTTTGTTTGAAGACATATAAACCCACCCAGCTCAGGCCAGTGTGATCAGAGTGGCATACCACATAAACACACAAGAAATCAAAAAGAAAAAAGTAACAACAAACAAACAATATATAAATAGAAAATCTAGAATCTAAAATGGCAAAGTCTCCAGATTGTGGCAGGGTTGGGAGTGGCTAAACCCCCCCAACCACTCAGTCTTGTTTGGATGGAGCCCAAACTTGTTCTTCCCCATCCAAATCCCCAGAGCCCCCAGATACTAGGGAAGAATCTTGACAGCATCATTCAGTCAGCCCTGGGTAGGGATGTAAATCCGTAAATCTTCAGAATAATAACCCAGTTCCACAGTTTAGCCATCCCACTGCCCGCTTTGCTTGCAAATGAGGAGAGGATGGCTGAGCTGCATCAAGACAGAAGAGTCTCCAGAACTCTCCACCTTGTCCTCCAAATAGGAGATGAGGTCAGGAACCTTCGGTGTCTGTGTTGTCACTTCCTGACGAATGTTCCCAGTCCACTTCATGATACCTGCTCTTCTGCGCTCTTCGTAGAGCTCTCTTTCTGTAAGGCAGGTTCCAAATCAGTTTAGAGCAGTGTTGTCCAAACTTCTGGGAATTCTGGGAGTTGAAGTCCACTCATCTTAAAGTGGCCAAGTTTGGACAACACTGGTTTAGAGGAAGGAGTGCACAAATGCTGCTTCCATATGGCTAAAAAACCCCTCACTGATGATCTCTAGCAGCTCTTGCCCATTTGTGGCATTTATCCTGCCTTGAAAGCACAAGAGGCTGTGCGTGGGAGCTCACTCATTTTTTCCTCCCTGGGGTAACCCTATAAGGTAGGGGGCTTGGCTCCAGTGTAAACAAGGGGGTGAGTTTGAGACTCCCTGCTTCCATTCCAACTATACCGCTTCTCCAGTGAGTGGCCACTGAAAGGATGCCAAGCCTTTTCTTATCATGCTAAGCACTGGCTGGAGGTGGGAGAGGTATGTTGTCTGTTGCAATATGCCATCACAAAGCAAAACAAGGCCAGCCTTTTAAATTAGCACAAATATCTGCGATCCACTAAACTCCCCTGGCTCCTCTAAGGACCAGCAAACACAATGCTGGATTTGTTAGGAATATATTCCCTTCTAGCTTAAAAATAACTAGATGGCGAAAAGTTTTATCTGCACCAGGGATCCAGCGCCAAGGGAGATTTACCTCCGATAATGCTCAAAACTGTCCTTCATTCGCCGACGCCCTTTCTCTGACAGGTCTCCTTCCTGGAGGAGGAGAGCAGAAGTAAGGCTCTGAGTAGTATAATGCTACAGAAATAAAAAGCTCTCAGCAGCTAAAGAGAAAGTGAAAACCACAGCAAGAAATGGCCCGGAAAGCTAACGGGTCGCACGATGCTCAGGACTTGGCATTTACAGTGCGGATTCTGAATTTCTCCGAATAAGGGAGAGGTAGGGATGATATTAAAGAAAATTTGCAAACTGGCCATGAAAACATATAGAGGGGTCTGCAAATAAACCCATTGCATGTTAGCCTAGTTCCCAAAGTGTTGGAGAAAAAAGCAGACAAAATGGCCTTGTAGGAGAAAGGAAATCAGTATGTGCTGCAAGCATGTGAATTGTCAGTTGGCCTATTTCTGAACATGGGTCTAGCTGAGTTCTGAAATAATGCTAAACTCATGTCCAAAACAAGCTTGGCTGACAATTCACTGGTGTGGAGGAGGGGCGTGGGGTGAAGCAGGAGGGGGTGGCTGATCATGAGTGCCCCCCATCGTGCAAGAGACTGCTACTGCTGGGCAGTGAGTTGGGGTCTCATGGCCACCAATATCAAATAATCCAGCAGTAAAAATTTCAGCCTGATAACACTGATGGGCAGAAGCAGTGAAGACTAGTCACGTGCCCAGAGTGGAACCAGCAGCATGCAACTGAATGTGTCAGCAACCACATTGCCAGTGAAATGTACCAGATCCTATCCACAGCAAGTGGAACAAACAAAGACCTTAAGCTACTTCAGATGAAGACAATGCCATGAAGACAGGGCAGGAAAACTCAGTTACTGGGCTATGTTTGTACCGTGGTTAGATTGTGATGAACTGAGAGATAGATGGAGAGACAGGCAGGAAGGGAAATTCATAGTTACTTGTGATGTTGGAAGAAGATGATTGTTTTCAAGAACACCAAACTGTGGATCCTGGATGCTGGAGTGTTCCTCTAAGGAAGAAATGAAAGAGAATAACACATCTGCAGATTCATAGACCACTTATTACTTACTCATCAACGTACTATGTTGTTGATTTAAACAGGTTTCTGGGACACATGAACATCAGATGGTCAGATACCTCAGTGTTGTCGTAACCTTTCTGGATCCAGTGGCAGGACCCTCCAGGATCAAAATCCTCCTTGTTCTTGAATTGCAGAGTGCGAGACCATCTCTGCCCCATGTGAGATACCACCCTGGCTGGAGACCTAACTCAAAAACATCACTCCTGCCCCTCTAAGAAAGAAAGAAAACATCACTTGCCAGAGATGAACATACTTGCTTTGGAAGATGCTTTCCCATCTTCATCTGGATTTTCATGGGGAGTCAGCTTTGGGCAGGAAGGAGAAAGAGTGGGAAAAAGAATAAGAACATACTCAATTTTTGAAGGAATAGTACTTTCTTTTCCTGTTAAAGGAATGTGCAGAAGTTATGTTTTCTATAGCAATTTTGCAGTAAAAAGGAGATATATTTTTAGGAGCTGTCAAGCCACAGAACTAAAGTTTAACTTAAACCCATACAATCAATGCAGAAGAGAGTGGAAATTTCAAAAAAGTTAAAAAAAATACTGAACTACTCATGCAACTCAACATAGCTTAATTTTTTTTGGCAGTTGCAACACTACAGTCGGTTAAGCTTTCTTCAACTTGGAGTGGGCACTAATCCAGCCCATTTGCTTAATATATGATTCAATGTATTGGGCAAAATCAGAAAAGATTAACTCAGTAAACCGTTGAAATGTGTTGTGTGAATGCAGTCTCTGCAACATGAGTTCATTGGCATCAGTTTGTTTTTCAGTTTCCCCTTCCTTCTCCTATTTGCCAACCAGACTGTGGGGATCTTCCTGTTTTTGCTACAGGAGGGAAATGCCTTGCAAATCCTGGTTATGGTGTGAGTAAGAGCAGGGTCTGAGGGGTGCAAGAACACAGAATCTAAAACTCTGCCTGAATGGGGCAGGAATTGGAAAAATAGGGCAACCAAATATTTATAACATACCTCTTGAGAGCTCCGGGATGAGTTTTCTTCAAGATCTGAAGTCTGGAACAACAAGAATTGGCGAGATGTTTAAGTGCTGAAAGAACTTGCTTATCTATACTCCAATTACCCAGAGAAAAAGATAATCACTCTTAATTACTTAGTTTGCTTGATTGATGCATCGCTGTTCTCTTTGGAATAACACTCAAGGTACCGGACAGTTTAAAACAAGAGTACTTAAGGAATCTTCAGATAAATTAGGGTATGAACTCTAAAATCATTTATAAATCAGGTGGAGAAGAAGGGATCTGTAGAAGGAATTCCCATGGACTTACATCCCACAACAATGTATTATTTATTATTATTAAACTTGTGTGCCACCCAGCTCCCAAAAACTCCAACGGTTGCATGTTGGACCCACAAAAGGTTTTGTTCCCTTTCCATGGATAGCTCCTGCAGGACGCCATGGATCAGTTGACTTCCATCCAGGGTAGAATGACAGGAACCACCAAGGGACAAATCGTCTCTTGGGTCCTGTTCCTCCCAAGCAATGGTCCTCGTAAGCGATTGGGAAAGATTAGCTATGCAAAGAAGCGCTTTTCCTCACAACCTACCAGAGTGGAAGGATCGAGGCACAGCCTTTTCAGCTTGGCTTCGGCACTCAGCAGCTGTCCCTCTTTCTGGAAGAGCTGAAGTTGCAGTTCATCACAACGCTCCCCGAGCTCCCGGATCTGTTTCCGGTAGCTGTCCTTATCTCTCAGGCTTTGGGAATACTGCTTGTGGCACCTCTCCTGGGTCAGAAGAGCCTGGAACAATCCAATCAGGGGGAGGCAAAGATAACCCCCAAAGAGTCGCCAGTGAAGCCCACCCATGGCTCGGACCAAGCCAGCCAGCACAGAGGCAAGGATTCCCTGTTCTGGCTGGGCCCACACAGCGCATATGAATGTGGGCTGACGAAATGCAACTGCTGTGCTCATGTAACATGCCACGCCCAAACAAATGCATACCCTTTGGGCTTCTTCCCCACATGTGACAGTGACTGGTTCTCACAAAATGCTGAAACGCAATGCACACAGACCCATTTTAGCTTTGGCTTGTGTGTGGGTGAACTCAGGTACCATCAGTTGAGATGTTACCTTTCTGATCTAAGTGACCCCTGCATCACTCCTAAACCATGTTCCCATTTGAGAGCACTTTTTCTGGTACAAGACCTTCCCCACAGCAGTCAGTTGGCCATCCCTGCTCTGCAGTGTTCCCCAATGTCATGACCTCCAGACTAGTATGCAAAAACTCCCATCATCCCCAATCAGGCTAGCAACAAAGGGTGCTGTGGAAACCAGTGGGACAGAGACTAAGCTTGTGAAGGAGGGGGAGCCCATAAGGGGTTCATAGCGGCTTGCAAGGCACTGAATAAGGCTGGTTGTCTTCCGTCGTGGGAAGAGATGGAGAGCTTTCACACAGCCTGCTGTTGGGCCCCAGGACACTGTTGGTGGATTCTACTGAACCCCTTTGTGGTCACAGTGATGAAACTTCAAAGAAAAGGACAAAAGGACGGGTAGCTATGCCTGCAGGCCCTCAGTTACTTTCCTCTCCTTGGACACCCTCCAGAGGTATGGACCTCCCCTACCAGAATTCTCAGCAATGAAATTTATCAACTTGAAACTTTGGGATCAACTTTGTATTGGTGGAGAGGCAACTTCTGACAGTGGGCCTCCAATATGGTTTAGGTTCAAGTTATTGATTCAAAACTGAATCACCCCATTGAAAAATGGAAGATATTTCTTCCTAATATCTAATTAGGTCTGATGTCTCATATCTATCTATCTGTCTGTCCCTCTATCTATCATGGGCATGTAGATAGAAATATGAATAATTTAGGTGTTTTCATTTTTTGCTTCATAATTTTGACTTGCTTGTTTATAAGGTGTTTCCATTTTTTCTCATTTTCTAGTGTTATTTTCTTAATCTCTGCTTTTTACATTTTTAGATAATTTACAAACCCTCCTCCCCTTGGCTCTCAGCTGGTGCAGATCTCAACTCTCAGGTGGGCACATTTCCAAGAGGTGCACCCCCCACCTCTGGGCCCAACTAGGTCTTGGCAAGGCATGCCAGGCTGGGTGCCCCATCCACAATAGGAGCATGGATGAGGGCAGCTTTGTTACACACTGATGTAGAGTTGACAGTAATTGTCTCAAAATGATGGGCGATCATGTCACCAGGTGTCCGCAGTTGTGCTTGGAGGAGTCTCTGGATGCTGCAAATACAGCTTCCTGTTGTTCCCCCCAACACATTACATCTTAGGTTCCAGCAGGTTTTTGCTTTGGAAAGCAGTACAGTGATGCGTGTTTTCTGGAGGGATAGGAGACAAGCCCTTGGCTGCTCCTTCATTTCCAAACCAAGAGAGGGGATCCTGACACTGAAATGTAGGTTCCCAATCTTTAGCAGATCTTGCACTGAGCATGGGATTGGACTAGATGACTGCTGACTTCTCTTCCAGTTATATGATTGTACAAACCTACAGCCTGCAGATGGATTGGGCTTGCAGATGGCAGACTTTTCCATAGAGCCCTCCAGCTTCCCCTTTGCAACTGCAGTATCCAAATGAGCCACCAGAGGGCGGCCTTCACAATCCCTTCCCAAGTAGTATTCTGCAGTTTCAGTACCCCACATAGTCAGTAGAGGGCAGGCTTTTCCATTTACCTCAGTGTTTCCCAATCTTGGCAACTTTCAGATGTGGACTTCACTTCCCAGAATTCTCAGCAATGGTCACACACTGGGAAATTGCCAAGGTTGAAAAACATTGATTTATCCCTCTCTCTTAGTAGCTGCAACTTAAATTTGCTGTTCTTTCATTGATATTTCTAATCAGACTCATTGCTTTTAGGAGGCTTGTGAGAAGAGGAGAAAATTGAGATGACGATGATGATGCATTCTGGGAGGTGCAATGCAGCCCATCTGGAGGGCACCAGGTTGGGGAAGGATAGAGTAATCTTTACCTGGTCTCTTTCCGCAGCCACCTCTTCCAGCTGCTTTAAGATAGCCTTGATACGATCTTGGTAAATTTGGTTATCATTTTGCAAGGAAGTACATCTCAGTTCCAGCAGCTCCTTCTCTCCTACAAGCTGACAAAATAATACAATATGAACCAAAGGGAGAATGTCAGGGTATTTTCTCATGCACAGTAGTGTTCCCTTAGCTAGAGTTTGGGAGAGAGGAGGGATTGTCATATTAATCTGACTGCTCCTTTTAAAAACTTTTAAGGAAAAAAATTATTCTGGGGGAAACAACATCCATCTCTATCTGCTCAGGCACCTTTAAATTCTCAGTAAGGCTCTGAACTGCCTCCATCTACACTCTGAAACTCAGTGGCAAGCCTTTGTCTCTGGGTGAATCCTTCACAATGACCTTTGTGATTCTGAAAAAGACCATCGCCTTTGGTCATTATGATCTTGGTTACAATACAACATTGTAAGGTGGGAGGAGATACCAAAATGGTGTCAGGGGTTGTAGCTCCAAAAAAAGGCCTTGTTTTGCCCACAAAATGTCTCCGAGTGGAGCTGTGCTTCGAAAAGGATTCCAAAGGGCTTCGAAACCCTCGCAAGCCCACCACCTCTCTACTGTTCCTTACCCCTGACTTAACCCAAGCTTCTGAGCAAGCATGAAAAACAGTCCGACTGCAGTGAGAGTAGCATTACGGCAATTCTTCACTAAGTGAATTCCTCATTAAGAACCAGCATTGTTTTATACATTCTGGGGAAAATTTGAAAAAAAAAAACAGGCTGCTTTTAATGGAGAGGTGCTGCACTTGTGAGGGTCGCAAAGGACTTCATTGGACTTGTTTCTGAAGTGGGTTTGGTCCTATGAAACCGCTGCTGAAAGTCACTGACCACCTTCCCACAGAAGGGCAGAACATGGTTTAACCATAGTGGTTCACACAACCCTGTAAGCTAAAAGCAGACAACTCACAGTAGAATTTTAATGTGATGTGCAACCTGGAGAGTTGGAGGTCAATTAAGTTAATGAAACATAGGGAATTCAATTATTCCTGTTGGATTCCATTGTTTACCTCCACTCTTCCATTAAGAATTAGAGTTTGGAGAATTAAGAATTCATTCACTCCTTCAGAATTAAGAATTGCCGTTTGGAGCCAATGTCTGGAGGGAATGGGGGACATTTCCAATGTTCTCAAGGGCCACTTAGGGCCCCTGGCTTTGTCTCCATGCTTTACCTGGAAATTACAGTTGACCCCCTTGAACCTCTTTCTGGGCCACAGCAATCTCCTCCCTGCCCTTCCCGAGAAAACTAATTTCCTTCCACGGCTTGCCAAGACATAATGGTCCAGTTGTTCCTTTGCAGGCCTGGCACCTTACTTTGTCCCGCCCATCTTCAGTTCTCTGGAGCATTTGGCGTAAATCACAGATGGTGTTCACCAGCTCCTGCTGCTCCTTCAGCACCCGCCTCCACTCGGCCTCAAGGGCCTGGAAGGAGACACCGTCTTTCTCGGAGCTGCCTTTCTTAGTGACCTAGGAGGGGTGGACAGAAGATGAAAGGCATGGAATTTGGCACTTTTCAACATCACCCCCCTTTGTGCTGACTCCCTCTCTCTCACCGCTGCCTTCTTCCTGGACTTTAGAGAGATGCCTTATTAACTGGGTGTTATCTCAGGGATGGGTCAGTTGGTTTTCCTGCACCTTGCAGGGGGTGGGCTAGATGGTCTCTCCCAACTCAGAATTCTGTGATTCTGGCCAGAAGGACTGGGTTCACACCCATCTTCCTTGTGGTTGGTTGGTGCTTTGGCTTTTTTGGAGATGCCCACCATTTTTAAGCCTTCCTCTGAAAACCCTGCAACCTGAAGTCCTTTTTAATGAGGAAGGAAGGAAATCTCCTTTCCAGTTGGTCTATAATTTCTCATCTTGGGTCCGGGACAAACTTTCCTTGCTCAGCTTCACTTTCCTGTATTTTGCTGAAATAATTAGCAGCCAACCTATCTGTTGAGATCCATTTCAGTTTCTCCTACTTCCGCATTTTTGCAAATCTGTCAAAATTGGTTCTTTGAACTTAAGGCTTTTTGGTAAAGTTCACATAAAAATCGGCACGCATTCTGGCACACCTTTCTCCAAACATTTTATTTGCAATTTTGTCTAGGACAAAATTGTTTTGCAAACCATCTCCCATAACCTTCTGCAAATTGTTCCCTCCTTCCTCAACCGACAGGGACCTGCAGGGTACTCTCAAGCTCCTTGTTCTTGGCCAACAGCAAGTCCTTCTCCCGCTGGATTTCCCACACTGCCTCATGGCTGGGGCGCTGCTCAATGGCATGCTTCAGTTTCAGCGTGTGCTTCCGCTCCAGGTCACAGTCGTCTTCAGCCTTGATCAGGCTGTGCCTCAGACAGTCAATCTTGGAGACAGGATGGGAAGGAGTTGCCAAGAAGGACAAGAAATGGGGTGGAGGGAAGAGATCAATTTCTGCATGCCACCCCATGGGAAGCATGGAAGGGTAATGTGGCCTACCTCCAGCTGCAGGTCCCGATTCTTCATCAGCACTGTGTTCTTCTCCTCGCTCTGCTTGGCGTAGTTCATGGCCAGCTCATAGTTCTCATCTCGGCACAGCTTCAGTTCCCTGCTAAGGGCATCCCTCTCCTCCTTCATCTTGTGTGTCCGCTCCTGATAGTTGCGCAGGACACTGTCCCTCACCCTCATCTCCTTGATGGTATCCTCCTTGGTGCAGAGGGCCATGTTCAGCTCCTGAACCTTCTGCCTCTCTTCTCGGATGGCCCCCTGCAGCTTTGAGACCTCGCTCATCAGCAACTCCATCAGGCTGGACTCCCCCGCCGTGTCTGCAGAGCAGAGGAACACTGGTAGGCGAGAGCAGAAGGGGACCTGAAGAGCATAACAAGTAGACTGAGGTGTTTCCCAAGGTGGAAGGCATTGCCCTGGGCTCTCCACAAGAAGGGCCCATCTGGCCTGGAATTGGTTACTTGAAAGCCAAGGGTGGTTTCAGTATTTCAGCTTTGCCAGACACCCCCAGTTGCTGAGGTCTTGGCTTCAATGGACAAAAAAGTAATTACCTTGATGCCACAAGAAGAATCTAGGGGAGCTACCAGAGCAAAGTATTACCTATAATCATAGAGAAGACCCGGGTGGGGTTGTTGCCTGTTATTTTCTTGTAGAGATGAGGGTAGTACAATTCCAGACTCTCGAGGAAAGCCACAAAACCCTTTTTGCCCGTCCTCTGGAGAATATCTAGGAGCAGCCCTGCAAAGAAGGACAGAGGGGCTCCTAGCACAAACTCTTTAAAACCTCAGTTCCTGAAGTGATCAGATGGTTGAACTCAGTGGTCCAAATTGCTCCTTCCCCTTCTGGCATTCCAACTGGCAGAAAGTATTTCCTATAATCTACCAGAGCAAAGTATTACCTATAATCATAGAGAATCTTTGGAATCTGCTTCTCTTTAAATGACCAAAGATAATGAAGAAATCCCAAATGGGCCCTCTGAAAAACAGTTAAAATGCTGCACTGCAATTCTCAAAAAACAGATGCCCTTAATTTCTCCCCAGCTTCCTAGAAGATATTTATGTCCAGATGGAGGTTGTCAGATACAAAAGTAAGACTTTACACCAGGATCAATTTCAGATCTCTACTAAACCATGAAATTCACCAAGTACTCCATTTAGCCTACCAGATCATTTTTTGAAAAAAAGCATTCATAATAGCATTGGAATTATGAATTATGAAATGCAAAATCCACGCTTATTAGAACAAAGGAGGACAAGTCAGAGTTTTGCATCCATTGAACCCCCCAATTTTAGCAAAAGGTGTTAGCTAAGTAACCAGTGTCAAGGCCATTACTTCGCAGTTTGTGGTTTAAACAACTCAAAGCAGAAAAAGAGAAAAGGTAGCATGATCTTTAATTTAAAGAAACCACAGTGAATATTTCCTAGAATTAGAAGCTGTTTGCTATTGCAAAACTGGACATTAAGTTGTAAAGGAGAATTGTGGCTGGATTTTCCCTTCGGTTTACACTGTTGAATTGTTTAGTAATGAATAAATAGAGGTATGTAGGCAGAAATTCATGTGAACCTCTAATGGTTGAAATGGTAAGATTAGCTCTTTTAGATTCTGCTAATATATAGCCCTGATGCATTTTAATGTTGGCTTGACTCATTTTAATATACTCTGTTTCTATATGTTCTAAGAATATATATATACAATAAGAGAAAAGTAAATTCTTCTCTTTGGAATCTGTTCTAAGGATTCCAAAGAAAAGAGTTTACTTGTCTCTTATTGTAGAATAAGATACACTATTCTTGAGGAAGGCTGCATCAGATAAGAGGGTACAAAAAGTAGGAAGAAGGAAACAGGAAGAAAAGCTTCCCAATTGGGCCACAAATTTCAGCCAAGGGATTTGTGATCAAACTCATTTTCAGGAAGGAGGGTTTTGGATAGAGTAAAATGGAAAAGAGGCGAAAAACATACTTGTATCTACCTGGTTCTCCCCATTAAGGAAGAATAATGGAATATCACATGAGGACTGAGTTTGCCCAACTCCTTTTCCTACTGAATCTTAAAATGGGTGCCAGCTAAACTCCATCCTGGAAGCTTCTTATTCAATATATTGTGCAAACTCACATTTCTTGCAAACCCAGAAAATAAGTGGGTACCTGTTTTCCTTTTCCTGAGTACCAGACTGGGATCATTTAGGATCTGCTCCTCGTCATCATGGTTTATGACTCGGCACTGCCGGAGGTAAGGTGTTATCCTGGAAGGGTCGATCACTGTAATCAGCGTCACACGGAAGCTTTCCAGGTCGTTCCAACAAGTCTCATCATCCTCATCCTCCAGGTCGGACATGGCGGAGGGAAAAAAGTGGTGGCTGAACTTAGGGTCTTTTCTGAAAATGCAGGAGGGAGGTATCTTCAACTGGAAAGCACATGGGACATTAGCAGAATCATAGCTTCTTCATGAAGACTTTTTACCAAAAAAACTTAACTACCTACCTACCTACCTTCCTTCCGACGTCATCACATATCTGTGTGTCTATGTGTATCCAGAGTGTCAGGACACCACTTGTACTTCCTAGCTGGTGGCATGTGAAGAACAGTATTTTGGTTTGCAAGGTAGACTCTAGATTAGAGATCCCTACTCTATATAGCCAAAACATGCCATAGGTGACCAGTGTTGTAACTCAGGTGTAACTGAGGCTGGTAACTTATACCTTCTCCATCTTTCTAAAAGCACTGGGTTAAATCTTTGATGGCCAAAGCCATGATGGGTGGCAGAGGTCAATTTCTGTAGGCCCATCTGGTGACATCTCTGGCCATGTGGAAGACTGTGGCTTGGAATGGAAGAGAAGTAAAGGGTAAAGGGCTCAAATTAAGAAATGAAAAGAAATGACATGGCATGGCATGACAGAAAGAGTGTCACTGAAAGTACGAGAAAGGGGAAGGATGTTGTAAATTTCAACAAGGCTTGGTTGATCTTGTGGAGTAGTGTTGGAGGAAGTGAAGCTGTAGATTTCATTATGAATCAAAGGGATAAAATGTATCTCAGAACATATGAATTGGTGTCAGCTAGGTTGTGGTGGTGCGTATGAAAGTACAAATCCAGAGCCGTGGATGATTTAAATAGAAGTTGGAGGGAAAATTGGCGCAACCCTCTAAATCTGTGTTTCTCAAATTTGGCAACTCTAAGATGAGTGGACTCTGGGATTTGAAGTCTACCCATCTTAGGGTTGTTAAGGTTGGAAAATACTGTTCTAAATGAATGGGATCCAGAAGGAAAAGATCTGCTGGGTGACATACATGGAAGGCTGGGAATGAGATAAAAGAATACAGAGAAGACAATTGAAATATTCTGTGATCCAAGAACCAACCATAGTAGAAACTGTTTGGTGAATATCTGCTTATAAAAAGACTGATTTGTTTTGAATATGTAAGTGAAGTATTGTAGAAGGAGAGTTGAGTTTCTATGGTAGCCAAAACTCAAAAGGGGTGTAGTAGCATCTTTTCCTAGTAACAAATTTTATTAAAAGACATTAAGCTTTTGTGAGCTTCAGCTTCTGCCTTTTGATAACATTTCTTGGTTGGAAAACATGCTCCCAGACTCCTGATTTATGGGTGAAGCGTACATCTGTTCATACATGTACATGGCAAAGGAATGAAGAAAATGTTAAAAGCAGAATTGACTGTGGATGATGAAAGACTGAAGTACGAAGGATCACAAGAGTGACAGGAGAAATCAATTTTTGGTAGCTCAAGTATGGATTTTAGGAAAATAGGGGTGGGGAAAGAAAGAAAGAAGAGTGAAACTGAAAGAAGAGAAAGGACTAACACTGCAGGAACAAGAGATTAGAAGACAGATGAATCTCCCAACAGAGTGCATGGAAGCATGTGTAAGAAAGCGGATGTAGAAGCTGCTTGCAACAGACTGAAAAGAATTTTATTTACAAGGGCCAGAGAAGCATGTGGAGTTACATGAAAGGGAACTATGAAAAATGATTAGTGGGATGATGATGTGAGAGAGGCTTGGAGCAACACATTTGAAATGGACTGCTGTAAAAAATTAGGATACAAGGTATTCTGCAATGTGTATAAAGCAAAAAAAGGAGTTACAAGGAAGGTCCTCAAAAAGAGCAGGGAAGCATTAAGATGACAAGAGGCAGAGAGACGCTGAGCTGTCTTGGTGGAAATAAAAGAGGGTTTGGGAAGGGGATCAACCGAGCTGAGGAGCCTCCAGCAGAGTGAATGGGATGAAAACAAAAAGTGATGACATGATTTGGGATGAAACTGAAGGGAGCTTTGTATGAGAAGGACCGAGATGCAACAAACAGCGCAAACACTAGGATGCTAGAAATGCCAGTATGAAAAGGAAATCATAAATGCTATGAGTATGTGGGGAAATGGTAAGGACAGAGATGTGGACAGTGGAGTTGGAGTATGTTAAAATATAGTTGTGGTTTGCTGATGGATTGGCTGTGGTTATGCCTGACAGTGGGAAAAATGCCATCATGGTTCCCCTACATAAAGAGAAAAGTAGCCCATTTAGAGGAAGATGGACTTAAGTGTTCCTGGGAGAGGACTTAGCAGACGCCTGTTTGAAAGGACAGAAGAGGGGGCAAGGAGCAACATTGGGAAGCCCAGTGGCACCTCAAGGAATTGTTCCTCTCTGCTTTGTCTCAGGCCCCATTTGGAATATGGGATCTGGTTCTGGGCACTGCAGGCTGAGCAGGAGAGTGACAAAATAGAGCAAGTTTAGAGAGGGATACCAAGATGGTGTGGGGGTGGGAAACCAGGCCCGATAAGGTTAAAGGATCTGGGCAGGTTCAATCTACTTAAAAGACGAGTGAAGGGAGATGGGACAACAGTGAAGGGATGCCAAGAGAAGAGGGAGTGGACTGATTCTCTACTGCCCCAGAGGGCAGAGTCAGAACCAACAGGTCCAAATTAGGAATTAGAAATTAGATTGCAGCTAAACATCAGGAGGAGCTTCCTGATGATACCAGCTGTCATCCAGTGGAACAAGCTGCCACATGAAGTGATCAGTTCCACTTCTCTAGTGGTCTTCAAAGAGAAGCTGGATGATCCTCTGTTGGAGATGCTCTAGTGGATCCTGCATTGAGTAGGGGGTTGGATTAGATGACCTTAAATGGGCCTTTGAGCTGTATCATTCTTTGATCTATGAAATATTCTGGATTTGTTATGGACAGACCATAGCTAAAAAGGTTGGTCCATCGTGACTCTGTTACAACTGATTTAAAATCTTGGCTTGATGGTATGTGTTTGCTCTTTGGAGCGACCAACATAGAAAGACCAACATAGAATTCTGTTTGGTGAAGGCTTAATCCACAGTTTAAAAATGGAGGATTTTGAATGCGTACCTCAACATTTTATCTATTGTGTTAAATCTTTTGTTTCTTGTTTCTGTTTCTACTCCTTTCTTTTTCTTCTTAATAAATTTTTTTAAAAGCATGTGTGAGATATAAACATGAAATGCTTAGCAAATGATTTGAGAAGGAGCAGTACATAAGTTGTTTTACATATTTATGGATGAATATATCAGGAATGCTTGTGGAGATATAGAGATGTGTTGGCTGGGAACACGAACATGCATACACTTTTGTATGTAAATGGTGCTATGTTATTGGCTG